AAAAAAAAAAAGAATGATCTGGAACAATCCAACTCTGTTAGAATCTATTCTACTTGATGATAGCAGATTCGTTTGGGGACTTCTGTTGTTTTTAATGGTTCTATTCAAGTGTGGCCGGCCAGAGATCCTGAGAATGTGGCTGAGCCAGGTCTCTGGGATCTCAAGACATTTATGTATACCTTTCTTTCAGGGCAATAGGGAGGAAAGTTTTCCATGATTCCCACCTACCAATTTGACCCTAGAAATTGCTGAAACTTATGAGTAGAATATTTATCTCAACATCCTCCATTCTGGGTTTTTTTCCCTTGGTGTAGACACATTGGTGATGGCAATGAGAGAGGCAGTGATGATATCCTTGGCTAGATCACTTTACATTTCTCATTGAAGTGATTCTATGTCTGGTTACCCAAGTCATTGCCATTTCTAGAAGTCGAAACTCCCCCACAATACTAGCAAATCATACTGTTTACTATAGAACAACTTTGAAGAAATAATTGACAGGTACAATTCACTGAATCAACTGAATGCATTACTACCGTCCACCCTACTACTTGCTTCATGTATGATAACTAAGTTCTGTCCTTGCATTCCAGGAGCGATGGATCCTATTTTGCTAACTGTCAGCATTCTGAGTTCTTTCTCAGTGGCCCTGTTGGTCATCCTGACCTGTGTATTATGGAAAAAAAGGTGACTTTCTTCAATTAATCAAGAGATGGAAGTGTGGGATCCCAGTCATAATTTCAACCACATTTACTAAAGAGAAAACTGCAAAGTGGCTAAGATCTTTCAAGAATTATAGTGCTCCATATGTCTCCCCTCTTCAGACTCAAAGAATGTCCACAGTACATTTCTTTCTTCACATAATTTATTTTAACTGTGATTTTAACAGAAGTTTACAGAAATATTTAGATGTCCATTCATTCACTGTTGCACATTTTTACTCCCTCCCCTGAGTTCTCTTTGCAATATACCTCTTATTCTGAGCTATTGTCTTACATATAATGCCTAACCATATGTTCCTTTTAAACAGTTCTTTACTTCATCTCTTCCAGAGCAATGTCCATTATCTAGTCACTTTTATCTTATTCTCCTCCCTTACCCTCATGTATGGCCTAATTTATAATGATACATTTCTTAAAAGGTAAAAATTTATAATTTGGGTATAGGCAATTCTTCACACCAAAAGAGAATTTTTGAAGGCAGATTTCCCAGGGATTTTCTCCAACGTCATTTCCTAATGGGGAAAGTGAGTAGAAGCTGTGCCACCAGAGTGCCTGGGCAGATAAGAGCACCCATGGCCAATGCAGCTGAGATTTATTTCTGCCCTGATTTGGTAAACACAGATTTGTGGAATTTTCTTTTGCATTCTACTCTCTAATAAGGCCCTTTTTTGCTTTAGCCAATTCCCATTGATTATATACATTGTATTTTTTTGTTTACTTGCAAAGTTTGCATACATTGTGTTTCACACTATTCTTCATTCACATTGTGTTTCATACAATCATTCTCATGCACTATGTCTTATAACATTATGTCTTGTTCACAAAGTAGTTAAATGATATTTCTCTCTATTCCTGAGATACAGAGAATACAGTTCAGCTATGTAAGTTTACTCACCTAATTCTGACAGCAAAGATTTTACATTCTAGCCAGCTCAAAATAAATGGAAAGAATTCTTGTGCCAATCCTCCTCACCATTAATCGCCTAAGAAAATGTCCTTCTGTTTCAGAATTAAGCCTATCATATGGCCCAATCTTCCTGATCATAAGAAGACTCTTGAAGAACTGTGTAAGAAACCAATAAAGGTGAGTGTTTCTGATGGTTTTGTTATAAAACTGAGACTCAGGAAACTAGAATGACATTCCAGACACAGTTGAACTTCACAATCCATTCCACTGTAGTTGGACATTTGGGCTGTTGCCATGTTCTTGCTTTGGTGAATAATGCTGCTATTAATATTGGTGTACAAGTCTCTGTGCCTCAGTTCTCATTTTCTCAGGGTATATTATGGTACATTCATACAATGGAACACTGTGCAGCACGCAGGAACCATGATTTTGTAAATTACTAAATAACCTGGGAGGGACTGGAGAGTATTATTCTAAGTGCACTAACTCAGTCTGATAAAGACAAATACTGTATAGGACCATTACTGTAGACCATATAACAGGATCCAAGGGACGGGGAGGGGGGAGAGAAGGGTGCTTAAACATAGGGTCACACAATTTGATGGGTGGAGGGAGGGATTGGTAAAGGAAAGGGGAAAGATCTGGTATGAAAACAATGTTTATGAAGTTTATATGTAATCCATTATAAATTTTGTTTTTAGGTAAAGATTATGGGGAGGGGGAAAGAATAGTTGAACTTAATCATTTGGACCTTATTTGATCCTATAATTAGAGCTCCTTGTAAGAGCTTAGCTGCAGCTCCCTAGAGAGATAACACTAAAATGAGATGCAAGTGTCAGAATTTCCAGGGTCAGAAGGCAGAACCCATGGTCACTTCAGAAGCTGACATGTTACAGCAGCTCCGGAAACAGTTAACCAAAGAACACGTGAAGCACTCTGTGCTGAACCCCTTTAGAAAGGTCTTTCATTTGCTCCCTGAAATGAACATCTGGCAGTTTCTTTCTCTGCTGCAGTCTTAATGCCTTGTTCCTTTCTCTTGCCAGAATTTGAATGCAAGTTTCAATCCAGAAAGCTTCCTGGACTGTCAGATTCATATGGTGGATGGCATTCAAGCCAAAGAGGAAGCCGAAGCCTTTCAGCCTGGTTCTTTTCCTCTACCGGCTGAGGAGTCTGAGAAACAAAAGCTAGTGGAAGATGTGCAAGGCCGGAGCTGGCCCACAGAGCAAGCAGTTGTCACCCCAGAAACTTTGAGAGGAGATTCGCCCCTCCGATGCCGGCCTGGGAACAACAGCACTTGTGATGTTCTGGGGCTGCCCTACTCGCGATCACCGAAATGCAGAGATGGGGACCGGAGCGAGCCCCGCATGTACCAGGATCTGCTGTTTAGCACTGGGACAACAAACATTGTCCTGCCCCCTCCATTTTCTCTCCCTTCAGGAATCCTTCCCTTGAATCCTGCTCCTGCTCCCCAGGGACAGCCCCCCCTCACGTCCCTAGGATCAAGGCAAGAGGAAGCATATGTCACCATGTCCAGCTTCTACCAAAATCAGTGATTAAAGGAAATCCAGAACGTGTGTGACCAGCAATGGTGACTGAGAGGATACTGAGATCTCTGACCCTCCCCTGCAGAGCAAATAGGATAAAAATGGACCCATCCCACCTGCCCAAACCACAGGATTCTGAGACTTTGCTTTGGCCAGTCCCTGCCTCACAGGCATCCCAAGTGAGACGAGAACATCTGATGTTTACCATGTTGATTTGGTCTTAAGTTTCAGGTCACTCAAATGATACAATTATATTATTTAATAATGATGGTAATAGAGAGAGTGGGGCGGGGGAAGAACGAAAGGACAGAATGGAAGGAAAAGAAGACTAAAAGAGAAAGAGAGAAGAAAGAAGACAAAATACAAATAATCATTACCACTGTTGGGCTCACTCTACACCAAGAGCTATACTGAGAGCTCTCCATGTCTTATCTCCTGTAATTCTCACAATCCTAGAAAGTGGGCACAAGTGTTATTACTCCTTTCTCACATGAGTGATGAAATGAGCCTGAAAGGGATGAAGTAACTTGTCCAGATTGCCCCCTCAGCAAGAGATAGGGTCAAGATTTAGGGTCCAAGAGTCTGACAGTGGTCTCCCCTGAGCCACGTGCCTTCCACTTAACTAGAGACTGACTGTCTCATTCTCAGTTGTCAGCCTCACTCTAAGTTCTACTGTCTGCCTAAGATCACCTTTGAAAGTGAAAGGGGAAGCTGTAAATCAACACTCCAGCACAACAGGCATAAACCTGGACTGTCCAGACAAATGGGGACACAGGACACTCAAACAAATGCAGCTGAGAGAAAAAATACTGAAATGTTTTCATGGTGTGTGAAGCGCTGTAGCCGGTCATGACTACAAAAGGTGAAGAAACCCAAGAAAAGCCACAACGCCCATTTCATTTGAGTTGGGTTTGCGGGGAGCAGGGAGTTTATTTTTTAATTTTTTTTTTCAGAAACCATATTCAAGGGGGAGAAATTATCAGCCCAGAATTTCCACTGTTCATTGCTTAGACTTTGGGCTTCTTGCTGCCCATCCCCCAACCCCATCCCCAGCCCAGATTCATCTACAAAGCCTTCCAAATTCTACAGCCTGAGACATTCCACAGCCTTCAGGGAGGACTTGTTAGCGTGCTTCATAAGTGAACAGACGGGTCATGTTTTCAAAGATGTAGAAAATAGGTATATTCATAACATTTAACATTTGTTCTATTGTCTTTCTTAGTCCAGATGAATTTTTAATGACTGTCTTCAATCAAAGGATCACCTAGGGGCACAAATGATTAATAAGTTCAGCTTTCAATTGAAAGGTTGGCAGTTCCAGTCCACCCAGAGGTACCCTCAGAAGACGGGGTTGGTGACTTAAACCTGAACAACCAGGCCTTGAAAATCCCATAAGACACCATGGTACTTTAACATGCACAAGGTCATCATGAGTCAGAGTCAAATCAATGACAAAGGAGTCTCTTGTTGCTATTGTTGTTTTATCTCCAATGATGTCAAGGCAGCCAAGCCATCTCAGATCAAAGGATGTAGCTAATCCATCTCTCACAAGGGCCCTCAGGTCCTGGGTGTACCCAGTACCCCACAGACCAGAAATAGTGGAAAGATGAAAGAGATGTATAGGTCCACAGTTCTGTTGGGTACCTGTTTTGGTTTAATTTTTAAATTTTTTTTGTTCTGTTTTAGAATTTGGGGAAGGGAGGCCAGTCATTTGTTTTGGGGGTGTTTGTTTGTTTGGTTTTACTTTGTTTTATTTTGTGGTGCCTGTAAAGGGGGTTTTAAGTCAAGGGCTAATGGACTCAACTTGTTGACTCTGAAGCTAGTAATAATTAAAGCACAAAATCTGCAGTAGCATTTACTGTGCATCTGATAGCTGGACAGTGAATAAGGATGACAGAAGAAGAACTGTCCCTTTTGAGCTGTGGTGTTGGAGAAGAGCACTGAACATCTCATGGATAATCAAGAGAGAAAAAAAATATGTCTTGGTGAAGGTGCAGCCGGAGTGCTCTTTGGAGGCAAGAATTGTGAGGCTTTGCCTCACAAACTTTGTGCATACTGCTAGGAGGGGCTACTCCTTGGAGAGGGGCATGATGCTAGTGAGAATGGAGGGTCAGTGAAAGAGAGGAAAACCCTCCACTAGGTGGACTGACACGGTGACTGCTGCAATGGGCTCTTGTGGGTCCATGGGCTCTTCAAAAGTGTGAGGATGGCACAGGATAGAACAAGGTTCAGATCTTTTGTTCATAGGGTCACTATGAGTTGTACTCAAGTCAACAGCACTTAACAACATCAGCATTCTTTGATGAGCCCACGTGGTGCAATTGCTGTACTCAGGTGTTAATCCAAAGACTGGAGATTCAAACCCACTCAGGGTTTCTAGAGGAGAAAATCCTGATGATTACATCCTAGGAAACTCTACAGAGCAGTTGTACTCTCTCACATCAGTTCACTTTGAGTCAAAAAGACTCGGTGACACCTGATCACAGCATTCTTTGGATGTAATGCTTTCCCCTGTTTTTGTGATAGTGCAAACAATATTATAATATCTTCAATCTACTTGGAGCTTTTGAGATTTTCCTTGACAAGCATTTGTAGAAATTTGTTACATGCCATCTAGTCTTTGGCACAGGGAATGTGAATGCAGGTAAGATTGGGATCCTGCATAAAGTGCGAAAGCTATCTAAGGCATAGGTAAGTAAGCAAATGATTCTATGATAGGGAATGCCCTCAGAAAAGCACAGTCAGAGCTGTCTGTTGGAGACGGACAATCGAGGAAAGTGTCCTAAAGTGACATGAATTTGCATAAAGGAAAAGCAAGAGTTCACCTGATGTGCTCAGGTGACAAGCGTCCTCCCACTTGGTTGAAACAGGCATCACCTCTCAAAGAAAAACCCCAAGACACACCTGGATCTCTGTTTCTTTGAGTTCCACATAAGTCTTAAAATGTATTTATTATTAATGAGGCTTAAAAATTTGAGACCAAGAGAGAGGAGGTCATTTGCTCAACTTCACTTAGTGAGTCAGGTTTGAAAGCCATTACATTTTTCTTCTTGACACGAATAGACAATCTTTCAAGGAAATGAGGAGAAAAGTTTAAAAGAGCATCAAGTTGTATCCAGCCCACAAAATCCTATGTTTTGGTGATTTTTAATCTTGGTTATCATTTTTATTTTGTCTGTGAGTGTCTGTCTGTTATTAGAAGCATTGAAACGCCATGTATTGTATTCTTAAAATAATAACTGCTGCTAATGCTTGATTATCTACTCAGGAACAATGTATATCAGATGGTTACTAATTGACTTTGTCCAATCCCTTTTTGGAATTCATTAAGATAAACTTCTAGTCAGAGACAACATACAAATCAGAGATATAAATAGCCATAGAGCACGAACTGAAAGGAAAATTGAGTCATTTGGTCCATTACCCACTATGCTTCAGTCTAAGGGCTTGGACTTAGAGTAATTGGCATTATCTCTCACCCTTTAATCTGTTTTCCTGAGAATTTGCGACAGAAAAGTGAAGTATAGGCTTGTTTCTGATGTACACACCTGTGTTTTCTTAGCTGTCCCGGTGGGGATGTGTGGTGGGGCAAGGGAGAATAGTGCAGGTCCTGCAACTCTTCTTCAAGTTCAGTGGCTTTTGTTTGCCATTATGTGTTAGGCCATCCATCATTCACTACAATGAAAGTCTCTGATTTATTGTGTACTATCTACATGCATTAAGAACATTTTATAGAGCTGCTAAGTATCTAACGTGTATTACCATCATGTATTTAATTAAACAATATGGAACTCTTCACAACAGTGCTTGTCCTCTGTGAGAACCATGTGTGTGTAAACTGACACCCATGTAAACAGGGCCATGTCTTCAAATTGTGGTGCTGGAGAAGAGTCTTGAACATATCAAGAAAACAAACAAGTCTGTCTTGGAGAGGGTGAACCCAAGTCTCTCCTTGGAGGCTAGGACTTTGAAGCTTCATTTCACATTCTTTGGGCATGTGGCCAGGAGGGACCAGTCCTTGAAGGAGGACATCATGCTTGGAAGAGTGGAGGAACAGCACAGGAGAGGAAGGCCCTGGATGGGATGTATTGATACAGTGACTGGGGCCATGTGGGCAGGAGTGTTGAAGTCAGTGAGACTGGTTCAGGACAGGGCAGCCTTCAGAACTGTTGTATGTAGGGTCGTTATGAGTGGCAGGTGACTCAACAGCATACAACAACAAGTTGTTTTCATTTTATGGGGTGGTATTCTCAGATAAACCTCTTTCATAGATCAATCCAGTCTATAGTTAGCAAGCATTGCTGAGGACCAATGTACCACTCTGTACTGTGGAAGGCATTGGGTGGGGCTACAGAGATATCACTCTGTCTTTGCCACTAACAACCACATGGAAGACAAGGACAAGTAGGAGGAGTTATGATATGTCTTTTTTTAAGGCACAGTATTGCTGAATTGAACAACTTGGTGTTGCTCTGATGTTGCACACTGTTCCATCACTGTGTCAAATACCATAATGGTTATCCATTATGTACAATGTTTGGATGAGCTTCCAGATTGATTTATACTGGGAAGCAAGAGTGTCATCCACTTCCTAAACTAGATAGATGCCTCTGAAAACTCTACAAACTCTCTACACTCTATAAATATACAGTAATGATGGTAGTTATAGAACAGAGTTCTGTACAGAAATAATGTTAGTTATACAACATATTTGTGCAAAATTTACTCTCAGTCATATTTGCCTTGACAACACTTAACCATTGATAAATGAAACTAGTGCTGTTTATATCCAGAGGCCACTCTTCCACTTTGTAAATCTCTCTTTGTTAATGTACAGTATCAAGTAACCTGGGTTGCTGTGGTGCTGAACCTTGTACCATTGGGATATCAAATATGAGAATGGTTTCCCAATGTGAACAGTGTTTGGTGGAGCTCCCAGCTGTAAAACAGGTTTACAAGCAGAAGTGGCATGCACTTCCTAAACCACATGCCTCTGGAAACTCTATGAA